AAAGGCAGGAGGGGGAAAGTCAGGAGAAACACAACGCATTTATCTATCAACCGCTAGACAAGACAAAGAGGTTTTAACAACAGTTTGAAAAGAGCGGCCTGTGAATGGTTACTATTCAATTTGTATTTTATTCCCCGCTGGTCATGGAATTGAGATCAGAAGAAAAAGTGAAAACACATGGCCGAGGTCAGGGGATCAGAGAACCACCACACACAGCAAAGGGAAAAGGAAGGCAATGGGAACTCGTGTGAAGAAATGGATTATATAAACAGAGCTTACCATCGCCTGCGCCCCATTATCCTGTAATTTACCCTGCATGGGAGCATAGAAATATATTAAACTAGTGATGGGTTTTACCGTTTCTTTACAAGCCAGCCTCGTGCCAATCAAGCCTACTATATGCTTTGAGACATGTTTAGAATTCTTGAACTAATGTGTTTATTTTAAATATCACAGGGAAATTATTACATCACTAGAAAATAATGCCAGAGCGGGGGTCTGCCGCCCTTTTGAAGTCCTGTTTCAACGAAACATGATTTTAATTACATAATCACTTTGAAACTATAATTATACAATAAACGATGAGGATTAAGCGGGAAGTATAGAGTACATTAAAAATTGCTTAGGTCTTGAGAAAACAAACCGAACATGGGGAGCGGGGAGAGAAAGAGATGAAACCCGAGGTCTTAGGGAGGGGGTTGATAAACCCTACAATGGCTTTCTTCTGAGCTGCGGAGGGATGGGCGCCTGGGGCTTTCGGCCCCGGCCACAAGCAGGCGTGTTGCAGAGTAAACGCTAGCAAATCCACGACAGAATCAAAGAGAGGCCCGGAAAGATGGCTCCGCGTTTGCTTGCTAGTCTTTCTACACAATAGCAAACAAAGTTGTTGTTTTTAACATTCGCGAAATGCATTTACATGGGGCACCCGCAGTGCACTGGACGGCCTATAGGAGACTGCTTTGTTGGCCCTTCACTTCCAGGAGGAAAAGCGTCCAAAAGAAATGGCGTCCTGGGTGCCGAGATGCCCTAGGGAGTTCAGAAACAACTGCCGGTGGCCCCAGAGCTCACAAGCAAACCTTGCTCTCCGACTGATACCAACTTCCTGGTTCTGAGCCCGGCTGCCTGCCTTTGCTTCTGGGTTCGAGTTGAGTTTTCACGGAGACAAAAGGCAAAAGCCAGATTTTTCCCCTAAGAGGTACAAACTTGGCCGCGCCCTCCCTTTGATTTTTAGGAGTCCCTAAGAAGTCATGCAGAGCCGGAGCGCTGGCCCTACTGGCCTTCAGATCCGGAGGTGGTGTTCTGGAACCGGATGACAGGGAGTCTAGGGTAGGACCTCGACTCTGCCCAGGGCTTGGAAGCACCGGGCCAGTAAAGTGGGAAGAGGGGTAAATGGTACAGATAGAGGCTGAGAGTGCCTTTTTCAGTAGAAAAGACCCGCGTGCTTTGCCAGGCAAGTGCGACTAGCCAAATCTAACCTCAGTTTTAAAGGCTGACTTTTATGACGCATTTTTTGGTGCGGGCAGTTTGGAAGGCTGGTGCCCAGCCTGGCTGAGATCGACATATAAGGGTTAAACATTACTACCCCAATCTCAGGCAAGAGGGACACTCCTCGCTTTTTGTTTAAGCAGAATATTAATGACTCAGGAAGCTGGGATGTTTTAATTCGAGTGCAATCCCGAAGATGTTTTCCTGCAGAATTCGGAGGTGGGGTCTGGGGAGCCAGCTGGGGAAAGTGACAATAAGCATCTTGCCTCGCTTTTGCTCGGCCTCGTGCTTACTCAGCTCTGACCCATTAATATTAAGTCACATCGGTATCACATCAGTCTGCAGTGGACCATCAACAACCAGGAAAAAAAAAGAACATCCGAAGAGTCCTACTGTGAACATGTTTATTCTTCGCTTCCCTAAGCCCAAGATGTAATTTTCTCACTGCCCTCTTGCAAACAAAAGTACTGTACTAGCCTGAGAGCGCTAAGACCTTCGGAAACCCCAGGGAAATTACCAGTGGGCGCTAAGTCACCAGCTGTTTTTTGTTTGTTTGTTTGTTTGTTTGTTTTGTTTTCCGGAGTCTGGAAGCAAAATGAGCAGTTCTTTTTGAGAATGCTGAGAATGGGAAGGCTTAAAGAAGAAGAGGAGGAAGAGAGAGGATAGATGAAGGAAGAGGAAGATCGTGAGGAGGGGGTGGCAGCAGAGATGGATCTTTGGAAATAATAGTGACGGTAGTACCTATTAGTTAACCCATCTCCTATTAATACAAGGATCTTCCTACAGCACCTCAGCTGATGCAGTTGCAGTATCTACTTGGTTAATAACGTCAAACACTTAGGATATTCTTACTGTATGCTCTCCACTGTAGTGTCTTGCATTCATTCCTTCCTCGAACCACTTACATAGGTGGGAATAGCCTGTCACATTTTACAGATCAACCAGCCAAGAGATTATTTCATCTGTCCTAGGTCACGTGGTCATAAACGGCCAGAGTGCATAGGAACCCAGAGCTGAGTCTCAGTAGAAATGGAAACTGGAAAACACTGAGGCTTATCTGAGGTTCCAGAGAGGGTAGTCTCAAGGCTCACCCTCACTGGACCAAGAACCATCTGTGTGGAGTTCCTGTTACTCTGGAGAGCCAGGATAGACAATGGAGTGGCCACCAGGCACTGAGCTATTTCTCCAGGGGCTAAATTCTCTCCTAGGCAAGGAAGTTGGGTAAGATACAACCCTCTACAAAGCAAATGGGCTCAGGGGCTCAGGAATCTCTCCTGCCAGACGCAGGGTGCAGGTAGCAGGGTGGTTAGGTGGTGTGATTGACGGAGGTGCCCAGTCAGTAGGGACAGGTGTCAGCAGTCCAAGACCACCGCTCCCTGTTATTGGCACCACCTGTGAATGGCATCAGGCTGGCTTTGTCCCATGTCTTCCTGACAGCCAGTAACTAGCAAGACAGGGGAGGTAGTTCTGTTTAGCACAGGTGTCCTTCATATCTAGGGGAGAAATAATGGCAGTTCCTTCCTTTTTTACAGGCATGGAGGCAAAGAGAAACCCGTTTTTGAGCCTACTGCCCGGCTCTGCCAACTGACACGTGACAGCCAGATGCCAACACTTCCTCTTTAGCTTCTCAGGTCACTGCTTCTGGAAAACCCACGCTTTCACATATTTACATTCTATAGTAGAACACCCTATACCGAATGAATGGAGGGGCTGAAGAAAGTACTGGAAACACTTGGAGTTGTAGTTTCCTGTCCTTGGGAAAGTTATGGGAAACCAGAAGCTCTGGTTTCTTTGGGACCCCGCACCCCAGACAGTCCCCAGGGCCTATGGTTTGTAAAGATGGCATGGGACAAGTCAAGCCCAGTTACACACATGCAGGGCCTCCTCTGAGGGCAGCTTGGAGTTGTGCAGTGAGACGAGGATGAGGGTCAGGAAATTGCCAGTCTCCTCTTCACCTGGCTCTTGTCTTGTCAAACAGTGCAGACAGGAGACTCCGCATGACTGCTTCCTGCTCACAGATAGCTGCAGCCATTTTAGGCCATGGTAGAAAGAAACTTGATTCTGGTCATTGTGATGTCTCACTGGCTTTCCATAACTTTCCCAAAGACAGGGAACCACACTCCAAGAGTTTCCAGTACTTTCTTCAGCCCCTCCATTCATTCGGTATAGGTTGTTCCACTGTAGAATGTAAATATGTGAAAGCGTGTGAATCTTTCGAAACTCCCCACTCACTCTGGGATGTAAGTAGGATCGGAGCAGCTCTGTGTTTGGAAGGGTGTAGAAATTACCTAAACCAGGTAATTCTCATTACCTCACTTTTTTGTTTCTCTAGTCCCATTCCTTGTGGGTCATAGAGTCACTCTGTATGCCTAAGAGTTCTGGAAGAGTAAGGGCCAGCATGGCGATTTACTGTTCTGGAGGAGAATTCCTAGACAAAGTCCTTTCAGTGTCTGCATATGTGCATGCTATGCCTCAGGGCTCTGGTTTCTGACTGTTCATTGGACTACCTAGGCTTGCTCCTCAACTTAATGCTGTCCAGATATCCCAACATGCACTGGAACAGTCTAAGTGAAACAATGCACTTTCTATACTTAGCTATCATGTAGCCTGGCTTAGCAATGTGGTATACCAGAGTATCAGCTGTTTTCCCCTTGTGACTTCATGACTGATGGAGAACTGCAGTTTGCTTCTGCTGCCCAGTAATTCCAGAGTGCTCTACTATTGGTTACTGGTTTAGGAGAAAAGATGAAAATCTGAAATACATTTTCTATTTTCAAACCATTGTAAAGATGAAGAAAAGTCCAAAGGTGAGCCCTTGGTTGAGTCGGGGACTGTGATCAAAACTGGGGCCTCAGATGGATGACATCACCAGCTCAGGTGGTAATAGCCACTCAGGGATTTTTTTTACTTACCATTACTGGATTGGGAATGGTGGCTGCGGATGCTGAAGGTGAGGTCACACAGAGGCCAGTAGTCAGCGGGAGGTTTATAGGGAGACCATCACCTGAGACACAGATCTGAGGCTGGAGCTGTGTAGACCTGGTGACTGCCCATGAGAGTAGAAGGCAGCTTAGGCGTAGAAGCCTGGGAGAGCCCAGAGCCAGCACAGCAAGTGGAAGGAGGAGAGACTACAAAAGGGACAGGATCGGAGGAACTGGAGACGCAGGAGGAAGTCCTGAAGGGATGGTCCTCTGGTGACCAACAGAGAAGAAACACGGTGGCCGGATGGGCCAGCAGAGCTAGCTCCACCAAGGGGCTGACCTAAGATTGCCATTAAAGAGAAGTCCTCACCAGACTGGGCATCTAAGAAGTCCTGGGTTGCTTTAGCAGGAAGGTTTATCTGCAAAGGGTTGAATATTGAATGGAGGCAAGCTAAGAGAGACACAGAACCTCCTTCCAGCAAAACAAAGAGGCAGTTACCACTGGGAAGCTTGTCCTTGCTTGAGGCCGTGAGCATCTCCTCATCATCCCACAGGAGACACAAAAGGGGTCTAACTGCCACTTCATTTTGTTTTTATAATACAGACTGCCTCACGAAGCCACATGTCATCTTTGACAGGGACCACGTTAATCTTCCGTGTATTGTTTCAGTTTCAGGGCATCTGCCAAAGTGAGCAATGGCCGTTAATTTTGATGCTCAACTGGAAATGGAGTCCTCAGACACGCACACTAGTGTGCGAGACACCGTGCACTGGAGGAAAGCCAAACCCGAGCTCACAGCCAGAATATGAAACCTATTTAAAACATGCCTGATTCTTCCACAGAACAGTACTTGCTACTCTCGTGGTCAAACCATCCCCTGCAGCCAGGTGGCAAGCTAAGCAAATCCAGCCATGACTCCAGGCCACAAAAATCAGCACTGTGGCTGCCAAGCCTTGCAGGCCTGAGTTTGCTGCCTAACAGGAAACTCCTGGAGCAAAACAGCCTATACTCCTCCATGATGGTTGACCACTCTAAGAAGATTCAGACAGCCTGCAATGAGGGAAAAGAAGAAACCACAGAAACACGAAAAAGAGAAAAGTAAGAAACCCTCTGTGAGCAGCCCAACACCGTACAATGTGCCCAGGACGCTAGAGAAGTCTGCATCTCACTCTCTCAGTCAGACTCTGCAGCTCGGAGACCAGCTCTGCAAGGAGATGGGAGTCCTCAGGGCCATCTCAAGGTTGTCTTCCTAGTCTGTCCCTCAGGGGTCTCCTAATCTGATCCTGTCAAGAGCCACAGGTGCCAGAGGGGCTGCTGCTAAGGGTCAGCAGGCTGCCAGGCTCTGTCTCCACAGCTGGGCTGAATGAAAAAAATCAAGGACTGCACTAACTGGTCTTCTCTTGGCTTGCCATTTTGGCCTGAGTGGAAAACACAAGACCGAATGGCACTTCCCCCTGGGCAGGGTGACTGGAAGTGAACACAAGAGGGCGCTCTCTGTCTTGACCTGGGCGAAGGTTACAGGGCATGCAGGCGTTGAGCCCCTGGGATCACAGAAGTTTTCTATTTGTGTACTGTACTTCCGTTTTAAGAGCTGCTACTTATTTTTTCCTCTTAACCAATGAGAACTATGCTCAGTGGCTCTCTGTTGGCAGATTCTAAAATACCACCCTGCCATTTCTTTCTCTCTTCAGGCAATGGTCTGCAATTTTCCTCTTGCCCTGCAGCCACCACTATGCAATTTGCACCTCACTAATTTCCTGGCTGAGTCTTAATGCTGTCTGGTCACTGCTCGCTCCTCCCACCCGGACAGCAGCAGCAGCAGCAGCAGCAGCAAGCCTGTTGCTCTGCATCTGATTGGCTGCTTGTGACCTGGCCACAATTCAGAAACTCAGCTTTGAAGAATCACATAGAGGGGCGGATGTTTGAGGGACACAGAACCCCTGGATTGAGGGTTCCTCCACACCCATGCTATGAATGGAGCTGTTTTGAGCAAGCAAAACTTCACACTTCGCTTGGGTTGGGGTGGGCGGTGCTTGGCAGGATCGCGTGATTGACGCTCTTGTGGTCCAATTTGCTGCTCACTGAAGCATTAAAGCAGCAAGCCTGAAGTCACTCGAAAGCCAGTGGCCCGAGCTCAGAGTGTTCAGTTCCAACCTACAAATGAAAAGCATTCCGTGGACGTTCTCATCCTGCCTGAGCCCTCAAGCGTCTTTCACGTGGACCTGCCAAATATGTAATGCAGTGGATCGCCGAGTACTTCTGCAGGTGGTGATTAAAACAGCTGAGGTCTTCTCCCTGCATAATGATGGGTTAGGAAGACTATATATAAAAGGGCTGAGGTTCTTTATTTATGCTTCCTCGTTCTCAGAGGCACGGTGGTTTAGGGGGGAAAGTCACTGGAATTGGATGCCAGGTTCTGGTTCCGATTAGTTTGTGACCTCAGATGGCTTATTTAGACTCTAATCTGTGAAATCAGAGGGTCGGGCTAGATCATAGTTCAAGGGTCATTTTTGGCTAATGTTCTAGGAGCCCATTATATCGTTGCAGCTACATGTACACTATCTGTCCTTACTCAATATGTTTTGATCTTTAAGAAAAAAAAATATCCCGTCTGTTTGGAGGTAGGTATTCGCTGATTAAGCAAACTCTTAACAGATTATACACAGATACCTCTGTGGAAGACACAACAATGAATGCAAATAAGTTCTTATTTTTTAATTCTCTCTCTCTCTCTCTCTCTCTCTCTGTGTGTGTGTGTGTGTGTGTGTGTGTGTGTGTGTGTGTGTGTGTAACTAGAGTTACAGGCATTGCGATTGCCCAAAGTGGGGCTGGGAACCAAACCCGGATCTTCTGCAAGAGACTGCATTGCACACAGCCACCTCTCCAGCCCTACGATGAAATTCTTATTCTCGGGTAACTGTGAATCCCCCCACAAACAAATTGGATGTGGTGTTCCCTCCTTTGAATGGCTCTATGAGTGAATAGACACCCTCTGAGTGACTGCTGGTGACACAGACACCCCTGTCCCATGATGGTCCTGCCTCAACTGCATTCCTGCGCTGCAGTATCTGAAAGTCATCTTTGTCGGGTTCTCACAAAGCAGGCATCTTGCCAGATTCTTCAGATGAGCTGATTTACAAAATGGCTCAGCCTGAAACACATGCAAATGGACATCAGTAAGTTGCTCACAGTATCTCTGGTCATTTTAAGGTCTTCTGCATGCATAGGTGTGAGCAGGCACACACATGTTAGACATGTTTGAATTGTCTCAGCTAGGGTTTCTGTTTCTATGAAGAGACACCATGACCACAGCAACTCCTATAAAGAAAACATTCGGTTGGGGCTGGCTTACACTTCAGAGGTTTAGTTCCTTATCATCAGGCAGCATCTTGACTTTCACACTAGCCTCTTTCCACTCTGCTCTCTTCTGTCAAAGATCTGCCCCCCAACACACCTTGCCCTTCTCTGCCCCTCTCTCTGTTAGGGGTCTGAGTATTTTTGTGTGTGAGAGACGGGGTCTCACACTGGCCTAGAACTCCTGAGGGAGCTCAGGCTGGCCTAACTTCAATCCCATTGAATGCTTGGATCAACAGTTAGGTGCTTTGCATTTGGCCTCATACATGCTCTTTAAACCATTTATCCTAAAATAAAATAAAATAAATAAATAGCTTTATTTCAAGGCTTCTTGCTCCTGGAAGGGCTCTCTATTAAGCAAGTGGGTGATCAGGCAGATGCTACCCTAGCAGTCAGCTGTTGGGTGAGTCAGCTGTTGGGTGGTTTTGGCTATGGGATATTTCTTAGTTGCTTCCAGGATCCCAGGAGCAAGTGTATACAGGGAAATTAAAATCTGGAACCAGGACTGGTTCGCGGGGTTCATAGAGACAGGTCCCATGTCCCATGGGGTTCATAGAGGCAGGTCCCATGTCCCATGGGGTTCATAGAGACAGGTCCTATGTCCCATGGGGTTCATAGAGGCAAGTCCCATGTTCCATGGGGTTCATAGAGGCAAGTCCCATGTCCCATGGGGTTCATAGAGGCAAGTCCCATGTCCCATGGGGTTCATAGAGACAGGTCCCATGTCCCATGGGGTTCATAGAGACAGGTCCCATGTCCTATGGGGTTTATAGAGACAGGTCCCATGTCCCATGGGGTTCATAGAGGCAGGCCCCATGTCCCAGCTTCAGCTGGACTTGGACAACCCTTCTTCCTTGTTCCCCGATTCCTAACCCACCCTTCACCCTTCCCATGAACCCCCCCACCACTTCCAAGTACATCGTTCCTTTATTTCTTGGTAAACACAACACCAGGCTCATTGGTGTCAAATGATTTTCCACACTGTGACCTCCCATCTCTAGCGTGAGTTTCCCCACTGACTGAAGAGTTTGGGCTGCCCGACACCCTGACATTGGAATGTGCTCTCCAGGGCAGAAGCGTCTGTGTGCCGCACAAGCCACAAGGTAAGCATGCTAGTGCTGCCGGCAGCCTGGGAGCCACCATCCATATCAGGACAATGGAACTTTTATTCCTACCCGGCCTCAGCTGCCAGGCTCTCTCCCACTCTCTTTCTTGGTTGGGCTTTGGTTTAAAGTTACCCTTTTGGGATTTGGTTGGTGTTTTCTTTTGCATGCCACCGGGGAAGTTTCTCTTTCTGAAGTGGACAGTACACAGATGGGTCAGTTAGTCCCAGGGCCTGCGGGACCACAAGCATTGGTGTTCAAAGGCTTCCCCAAACCAGCCTGTCAGACAGAGCCCAGTCAAACTTGCTTCTGGCCATTTGGAGAAGCATAATACATGGCAAGCTAATCTCAAAATTACTGTGTTCTGTTGGGCTTATGTAATTTTAACTGAGTACCCTTCCTCCTATTGACTCTTCTGGGGGGACAGTTGCTTGTGTGTGAGGTGTCTACTTGCTTCTCATCTTTCTGTCTCAGTCACCATGAAGTCTGGCCACCACAGACAGCCCCGTCTCTGATTTACTCCAAATCTTAGTGACGAGACAAACCAAAGAATTGACTGAAGGACTCGCCCGTTAACCCAGTGGAGGAGAGCTAGACTGCTTTGTCGTTCTTTGGTTGGTAATACAATACTAAAAACTATAGGGGGAAAAGGGTCTGAAATCAGTGAAGGTCTTTAGGAAACCTAAAAGGTTCTAATTCTGCTTTAACACTCTATTATTCAAGGTTGGTGTCTTAGGGTTTCTATTACTGTGAAGAGACACCATGACCACAACAACTCTTATAAAGGAAACATTTCATCGTGGTAGTAGGCTTATCGTTCAGAGGTTCAGTCCATTATCATCATAGTGCAGCATGGTGTCTTGCAGGCAGACATGATGGTGCTGGAGAAGCAGCTGAGAGTCCTATATCTTGCAGACAACAGGAAGTGGTCTGTCTCACTGGGCATGACTCAAGCATATATAAGACCTCAAAGCCCACCTCCCTGGTGACACACTTCCTCCAATGAGATCACACCTACTCCAGCAAGACCACATTCCCTAATAGTGCCACGCCCTAGGGAGGCCATTTTCTTTCAAACCACCACAGCTGGTCCTCAGCTGTCCCCAAGGCTAAGGGCTTGAAACCCTGCTATTTTCTGCTCAGGGAAGCTGAGGTCCCATAAATGTACCCACCCGGATTCTGAGCCCATAGCCTCAGCCCTGGGGAGTCTTATAGATTCACCCTGGTGAAGACATGCAG